CTTGGTTTCTTTCAGTATGAAAGATTTGCTTTACCCGTTATTCATGGATTTTATGGTGAAGTCCTCCATTGTATAAATGGACATCAGTTCAAATTGTCGCTGATATCGAGGCGAAGCAAGTATAGGTATGCTTGCTGTTTCTGTTTCTTCCTTCTTTTCGCCGTTTTCTGCAAACTGTTTTCAGGGCTGGCGTGCGTTTTTACAAGCGCGGAGTGAGTTCAGATGGGCATCCCGCTAACTTTGTGGAAACTGAGCAAATTGTCGAGACGATCTCCGGTGGAGGCCGTCGATTGACGTCTTTCCTGCAGGTATGCCTGAAATTCTAGGATTTTCGTTCTTTTTTCTCAACCTGCAATTTAAGATGCGAGGATCCATCCCGCTTCTTTGGTCCCAAAAACCGAATCTGAAATGGCAACCGATGCCCACAATGAGGGCCAGTGATGATCAGTTGACTGCTTATGTGCGACATTTCGAAAATCAAAAGAAAAACTATGGCGGCGTTCATGTGAGTACAATATTTGTTTGATCTCGGAAGCCCTTGCCCTTTTTGATCTAAGTCTTTAGGTTATCGTCAATCTTGTAAATCAAGTTGGAAGAGAAAGAAAACTCGGTAGCGAACTAGAAAGAATTGTACAGCAAGCTAATCTCAGCTATGTTAGGTTAGTCTGTAAGACTTCCTTTCATCATACATCGTATTGAACTCATTGATTTCAGGTATAATCCATTCGACTTCCATAAGGAATGTCATGCTATGCAATGGCATAGATTGTCTTTGCTAAGGGATCAGCTACGACAAGAAATTACTCAATTTGGGTGAGTAATTTTGCAGCGTCCTTGCCGATGTTTCTAGCCCGTTGTCTTCAGGTTTTTCGCCGCATCTGATGTTTTGGCTGAAGCTGACTTTACTCAGAGATATCAAACAGGTTTCTTTAGAACAAACTGTATGGATTGCTTAGATCGGTACGATTCACGCTTTCTGGAAGCTTTGTTCAAGCTGTACTTGAGTGACTCATCTTTCATCATGGCTTTTTAGGACTAATGTTGTACAAGCGTTGATCGCACGGGAGTCTTTAACTGACCAGCTATATTACTTAGGTATATTAAATACCGGCCAAAGAGTAGAAACCTGTGAAGATCTTGAAACTTCATTCAAGCATAGTGAGTGGAATTTGAGGTTTTTTTTATTTTTATTGATGTAAACAATACTCTTTTTCTAGTCTGGGCGGATAACGGAGACGAGTGTAGCCGACAATATGCGGGAACTGGAGCACTGAAGGTTGTTTACAACTTTATTGTGCATCATTTCACCCAGATAGTACTTCCACGCTTTACCGCGCAGTTTTTTGTTACTTGCTAGTAGAGTTCTCCGGTAATTATAGCGACTGGAATGTTATGTTCTAACGTTTTCAGGCTGATTTTACTCGACTTGGGAAGCGAACTTACACTGGTGCCATAAATGATGGGATTAATGCCATAACTCGATATTTTCGCAATAACTTTGCGGATGGGTACAGACAAGTACGTTTTTTAGAACTAAAATGTGCTATACTTTTCATGTTACTGAAAAAATTAGAATTTTAGGATGCCATGGATGTTTTCTTGGGAAACTATGTTATAGACGTTGATAATTTGCCGTCTAGCTTGGAAGCTGCATTGATATCA